TTTAAAGTCAAGCTTCAGTTTAAGATTCACCCTGTAATAGAAACATGTGATGGAGCATTACTAACCTGACTCAGATGCTTTGTTTCACCAAACCATCTAAAGCTCCATTGGAAGCCATTTGGAAAAGGGCAGGCACTTTCAAAAATACTTGGCAGGTGATTGGATCAATCTGTCTATCACCTTCTATCATGGGCCACTGCTGATTGGTTAACAATGGCTGGTACATGTGGAGCACAGCACTTCTGATTGGTGTGGATGACTGACACACAAGGAAAGAAAAAAAAATGGAAACAAGAAATGTTAAAAAAATCGCAGGCTTTGCGATTCGATAATCGAATCATTTCAAATCACGATTTCAATTTAAAATCGATTAATCGTTCAGCCCTAGTCCACGCGATTTGAATATTGCGCATGCGCATATCGCGATTATCGTCACGACACGATATATCGTGCAGCCCTAGTATGTAGTGTCTCTACTGTGACATGTCTCCATGCTTTAATGTTCAGAAAGCTCTTTATTTTTCTCATAATACCTGTGCTGCAGCACCTCTTTTCACCCTCTGTCTGAAACCAGAGCCCAGTCTGCTCTGATTGGTTAGCTGGCAAGCTCTGTTGTGATTGGTTCCACCAGCTTTGGGATGTTCCGCCCCTTAGCCACGTACAATGTGTTGTCCAATGTATGTTTTAGTTAAATTTCTCTGGTACCAAATGGTGTTTCTATTCCAGGGTACGAACATCTGTATATGTTCTATGCCTAGTCATAGCAAAACAAGGCAACTGTTCTCTTCACCTGCTGTTCCTGCCTGACTTTCCTGCAACGATAAATCCACAAAGATGTACACCTTTATGTAGTGGGGACCTAAGGGTTTAAGACTTTACATCCCCAGTTTGATCCACCTGGGGACCTTTTAGAGAAGGTATGCTTGAAAAGCCTCACAAAGAAAATGAGGTCTGCACTGTTGCAAATATTCAGTAATTTCCTCAGGCTTTTAACTTTAGCTTACAGATCATTTCCCAGCTGGAGGAAATAGATTTGTGTTTATTATCTCAGAGGGTCAGTGATAAAGAAAAAACAAACAGGGATTTCTTTCTTTAAAGCCTGTGCAGGTGCTCAGATAGCCAAACAAACAGAGCAGAGGATTCCTGAAGGACCTGCAGCCTGCTGCCTCCGGTTGTTGCCACGGTGACAATTTATGTCCTCAGTGACGGATTGATGCAGCGGCCCTGCCCTCGTCTGGGTGTGTGAGCGAGAGAGGGTGTAATGAGATGTAGGGTATATATACACAGTGTAATAGCCATGAGATGATGAATGGGTTATAAAAAGACAAGGATAAAAGGAAGTGAATGAAAAATGTGCAGCGTATGAAAGCAAGACACAAAGATGAAAATAGAAGTATGAGAAAGGGAGACTGAAATAAACAAAGGAAAAAAAATGGTGTTTGGCTGAGGATACATGTACGTGTGACCCTCCCCTCCCCACAATATCCTTCTCCGTCTGAACCCCCTCTGCAGCAGCAGCACCGTTACTATAGCAACGGTAACCAGGCGATGACGCCGGGCATCACTCCCACAAACCGAAGGAAGGCTGAACACACCCAGCTCAGTGAGAGAGAGGAGGGGGACGCCGACTGGAGGCACCGCCCACAGAGGGCAGGAGGATTATTACATCTATCTTAAAATGATACCGTGTGAATGTTGATCCAGATATTAATCACTGTAATCTGGCCCATTGTAATAATTACTTTGTTATAAAACATAATGTCCTAGAAAAAGGATATTACTGTCATTTGAAGACTATTAAATGCTCTCTATTTAATGCACTATATTGTCATTATAATGCCACTTCACCCACACAAGGAGCAATGACCTTCTAGTTCTTAAAAATAATCAGACATATTCATTAGAATATGGAAAAACAATCCTTAAATACAAAAAAAAAACCACAGTACTTAAACAGAAAATTCAACTTGAGCACTGTTAATACATTCCTAAAGGTAAGGAAAACCCTACCATCTCAGTCGTGTCTCTATCTTGCACGATAGTGTAGTTATCAGGAGCAGCTCAGCTGTAACTATGAAATCCACTCATAGTACAATGTAAAAGAAAAACTGACAACTTCCACAATCCTGTATCAGTGCAAAAGAACATAGTCAAATAAAGAGGCTCGACAGTAGGGCTGAACGATTAATCGATTTTAAATCGAAATCGCGATTTTAAATGATGCGATTATCAAATCGCAAAGCCTGCGATTTGTTATTTTTTCTTCTTGTGTGTCAGTCATCCACACCAATCAGAAGTGCTGTGCTCCACATGTACCAGCCATTGTTAACCAATCAGAAGTGGCCCATGATAGAAGGTGATTGACAGATTGATCCAATCACCTGCCAAGTATTTTTGAAAGTGCCTGCCCTTTTCCAAATTTCAAGGTTCTTTATTTGTGATACGAACATAGCTACAGAGTAGTTATGCCGATGACAATCTTAGGTCACAGGCTTCTCCAACAGTGCTTGGAGCTTTCCTAGATGCTTTGGTGAAACAAAGCATCTGAGTCAGGTTAGTAATGCTCCATCACATTTAAGCAATTTTATCACATTAAAGCAACCCAACGGAAGTTTCATGTAAGTTTAGTTCTTTCACTCGTAGCTCGGGCTGCGGGGTGCTAGAGACGGGAGCACGTTGATACGACCTTCCTAGCCGGAGATATGGCCGCATTTTACAATAAACTACAATAAATATCGCAAATCGATTCGCAATCGCAATATCTGTCAGAAAAATCGCAACTCGATTATTTCCCCAAATCGTGCAGCCCTTCTCGACAGTCGGAAACAATCGGAACACAAAAAGTTAATTATTTTTGAGACAGACCTAGCTACCTCTTTTCTTTACTGGTTGTGAAGAAATCCACTAATCCCAGTTTCTCCAAGTCCAGGGTGATGACTTTAAATGTCTTGTTTTGTCTGTCCAACATCCAAAGATATTCCCTTTTTAATATGATATAAACAAAGAAAACAGGACATTTATTTTGCCATTTTGTTTGTAAATTACATAGTTGACTAATCAATTCAATGTTGAAAAACAGCTCCAGAACAAAGGTAGTTAACCAGATGTCCACTTCTAGAGATATAGAGTACTACTTTTGCAGCAACCATAATGTAAGTAAGTTGTTCCTTTTTTAGCTATTCACAGTAGCAAAATGCTTATAAAGTACAAATGGAACTAAAAACTATAAAACCCTGAACAAAATCTGTATTGCTCATTTTTGGCAGTGGCAAAGAAATGTTCATTCATGTCCATAGCCTTAGTTTCAGGCCGTAGCTTTCTGTGGAGCAATCATTACATTACATGACACGTCACTTGTTAGACGCTTTTATCCAAAGCGACTAACATACTCAACACTGAGGACAATCCCCACAGGAGCAATTTGGGGTGAAGTGTCTCAGGGACACAACGACATGCTGACTGCAGCGGGGTTTGAACCTGTGACCCCCTGTTCCGAACACCAACGGACAACCCACTGCACCACACGCCAATCCTGTCCTTACCCTGCATATCTTAACAAGACTAAATCGATACACAGCAGGCAGACAAAAATAGTTTAAAGGTGTTTGAATTCTTGGATTTTGTGAATTCTGAGTGAAGATGCTTCACTGCAGTAAAAAGAAAGCCCCACCCCCAAAACACGAGAGGCTCCCCGCTGACATTAGAAGCGTACCCCGTTTCTCTGCCTGTGTGTTGGGCTGCAGTAGCTGTGTGTTTCCCTCATGCAGCATGCTTTCTGAACACACATCAGGCACTACCGCACTGCAGCCAACCCAGACAGTGGACCCAAACTATGTGCGTGCCTGGGGGCACTTGTTTTGCTTCCTTTGGACATGCTGGGGTGGGTGGGGTGTATGGATTGGAGTATTGATTGTCTCCTTGTTGTGTGTTGGCTCACTGCTGCATCTGATTTATGTGTTTTCAGCCTCAGGATCTTTTTTTATTAGCAAACTTTCTATGAAGAGGAATTGCTTTGGCTATTTTGTATTTGAGAATGTTTATCTTCAATGTAAATGAATATGAAAGAAAACTGTGTGTTTGAGGACTGCAAACCAAAGAGAGCATGATGGAGGGTATGGTAGTCTTATTATCCCGGGTGTTGCTACTCTCCATGATCTTGGAAGATTTTGCATATCCAGCTTCTCTGATTTGGGCAGCCATGTAGGAGGGGAGGTACATTTGTAGAATATAGGATGGGGGGTCTAGGCCATTGTGAGCCATTTGCACAGTATTTTGTCACCTTTTTGAAATGTAAAGATGATCAAAACCTTCAGGAAGTCTTTCTTTTTTTAACTTTGAAATACATATTTGTGTTTCTTACATTGCTTATTGTGATGAATAAAGTCAGGCTGGTGTTTTTTTTTTTTTACCTGTGGTCTTGTTATTGTCTCATGAGTAAGTAAGGTACGGCTATTTTAAACAATTAATTAAATGTACAGAACATTCTAGAAAGATCTCCTGAACTTCCCCACTCAATCTATCAAGACCCGAGCAGTTCTACCAGAAGTCCAAGGTAAAGGCACAGGCCGGCGCATACCGCTCATGGAATCCCTCACCATATGAACTCTGACCCCTCAAGTGTACAAGTGAAGAGACACTATGTGTCAGCTCCTTTTTAGAATAGTATTTCTTCTCTTCTCTGAGAAACAAGGGTATGAAACAGAACCATATCGCCCCCAACCCAGCTCCAAACACATTGACACACTGACCTTTCTTTCAGCACACAAACTGACCTCATTCAAGGATATTTGCGAGACATAATCAATCCACATTGAAAAGATATTTGGTCAAAGCAACAATTTAAAACTACAGTGACACTATTTTTAAACCTTCTTTGAAAAAGCATGAACTTGTTGGTTCACTGCTGTGCAGCTGTGTGTGTGTGATACAATCTGCTAAGAAAGAGTTTGATATCATGGAAAGTTCAATATTCTGATCTTTTTGTCCTCTTTTCCTTTCAGGGCAGTTACCCTGTGTGGGACGACTTCATCAGCAAGGCCAGCAAGCTCCAGTCCCAGCTCAGGTACTGGTGGACGTCACACAGAGCAAATTAAGGCATCATTTCCATCACTTTGACAAATCATGCGGCACGTTTGTAGTACACAACACTCAAAAGACACACATGTCAACAACAACTTCAGAAAACAAGACATTTCATAGCCCATGCAAACAGAGGTTTTATTAGAAAGCTAATGCTAGCTGTGCCAGTGTTGCCAACTTTCTCCATCTAAATTATACATTTTTAGACACTCCTAACTTAAAAAAATTCAAAAGTGGCACATTTTGCGACTTGTTTTAAAAGTATCTAGGAATATATTTTTTTAAATGATTTTTTTAATCCATTGCCATCCATGCAGTTCAAAGTAATCCTAGTGACCGGCTTGAGCGAATTGATGGCCTCATCTGCAAACTTCTAGCAACTCTTCGAGCTTATTTAATTGGGTTTTCAACGCTGATAAAGGCAATATCTTTCAATTGAATGATAATCTAACCATTATCTAAAATATAATCTAATAAAATCATTTTATCTAATGAAATATTCTCAAAGTTAATGTAAATGAATCTCATTTTGTACATATTTATCAGGGCAGCTAATGTTGGGCGTGATGACGTTAAGGAGTCTTATTTAGCCACTTGTTAGCAGCCGCCGTTTTGAGGACCTATAAAGCTTCAGACGTTCACTATGGGGTTTTTACTTCTTAGAAGAAAACGTGAACATCTCGTAAGCTTCAATAAACCACAAACCTTATTTTGCTTATCAAACTAAAACCCATTCTAAAGCCATTGACTTTGAGACGAGGGAGCCAGTAAATGCTAACTAATTTATAGGATTGGGACTCATTTATGCTTTTGCAAAATGCAAATGTGTGCACAGATGGTACACACAAGCACACACATGTCAAGAGTCTGTTTAACGTAAGCTCATGAAAATCCAATCGGTCTTCTTCATTTAGTGTTCAAATGTCATGCTCACCTCTCCTGCTCTGTCACCTTGCCCTCATCTGGTTCACTGACACACACATGCGCACACATACTCACACATACTCACACACATACACACACACACACACACACACACACACACACACACACACACACACACACACACCTGAGTCAGGTACACGCACAAACACAGAGAGAAGCGTACACATAGAAACTGCAAACAAACCCTACAGAAACCCACATGAACCTTCCAGCCATTAACCACCCATTAACATCCACACACACACACACACACACACACACACACACACACACACACACACACACACACACACACACACACACACACACACACACACACACACACACACACACAACTCAATTAACCTTCCGTGGCTGGCAGGGATGAATGATGCCACTATAAAGTCATTATCAGTGAGAGGGATCAGCAGCAGCCTCCAGAGATTCTGCACTGGGCCAGAGGTCAGCAGGGGTCACAGCTGTTTACCAACACTGACTGCATCACTCCTCCTCTTCCTCATCAGAGTCCTGTTAAATACTACACATCATCTGCCATTACATAGAGCACACATTTAGATTGACTTTCCATTTCCCTTTTATAGCAAGATCAAGGTACACTGCAAGATATAGTTACGTGTTGAAGTATGTCCTTATGCAAATCAAAATAGACATTTTATGCAATGGGACTAATGGTCTTCTCATATGTCCCTTAGAAAAGAGGACGTGATGCAAAAAAAACCATTTGGTTTAACAGATGAAAAAAGATAAACGACATGCAAATGATATTAAACATGGGGATTACCAGCAGTTAAATATTTAAAGTAACATACTTTAGTGATCTGTATTTAGTGATTTTGCCCATCAGGCAAGTGCAAGAACTAACTAACTAGTTGATGGCAGCTACTGTTAGCAACAGTTAGTGGTTAGCAACAAGTGGCAATATACTACTCATTTTCCAGTATGTCCCATATCAGATTTAAAAATATAACATTTTTGTATTATAATTATTAATGCATTAACGTCAATGTTGCACATGATAAAGGTGGAGATTATTTGTATTACTTGATATACTGCTGTGTAGCTTAACCTACAGTATAGTAATACATAATGATGTATTAGTTGATTCATTTTCTATATTATAAATGTATACCTGCAAAGTAGTGGAGAAAATATGCAGTAAAGTATAAAGTAGCATAATGGGAAAAGTAAAGTACTTAAAATGTATTTAAATACAGTACTTTATTAAATGTACTTGTAACATTCCACCACTACTTGCGGGAGACTGTACATCATGCCACCAAGGTTAAATAGTGAAGGAACAGGCGTTGGCCAAGTGAGACTGTAGAGATACAGTTCTATTCTCCCTATCACAAGTCAGTGTAGCACTTTGGGCTAACTGAGTACCCAGAGCTGTTGAGTAAAACAAATGTAACTCTAATATTGTGCTCTCCCTGAATTGTACACACTAGATGAACCCAAACTAGAATTGTATCAAATATTCTATGACAGAGAACCTGAATTTAAAATGATATATCAAAGGATATCTCCTTATCCTAACCTTCCTTTGCTGTGTTTCCCAGGACGACGGTTGTCGCGGTAGCAGCCTTCCTGGATGCCTTTCAGAAGGTGGCCGACCTGGCCACCAACAGCCGAGGTAAGGAAGAAACATCTCCGTCTGTCTGCGTTTGTGTGGAAGTCTCTTATTGGGAGCATTCTTCTTTTGTGTTTTCTGAAAGCTCTTTGAGTTTCTTACCATCAGAAATGGAAACTGTCGGGGATGAATCACAATCATTGATCAGTAGTTGTACTTTATTGATTGGCTGCTGGATGTCTCAATCAAAGGATTTTACATTGGATTTTTTTATATACTTTTGTATGTCATTTTCTCATGCCTGGTTTTAGTGATGGAATTGAACCATACTGACTTAAGGGTATAACAGATATAATGCATTTTGTGAAGTTATAACAAAGAAGATTGAAGATAAAAGCAACACCTAACACTGCTCTTAATACTAGAAGTCCTACAAATCTGAGACTACATTTCATTGTGTGAGCAGAGTTTCATAAATCTACATTTTTCTGGCAGTTTAAAAGGAATTCATTTGAATTCTCACCTGCGCTCATGTGGCACTGGCATGCAGACTGAGACAAATTCAAAAGATTTGAGTAATATCACCTAATGATCTAAATTCAAAAAGTCCTACTAATGCTGCATAATATCCAAAAGACCATTTTGTTGAGTACTTTTATATATTTATTGAGTAAAGAAGAGAAGAAACAATACAATATTGACCTATTTGATCACTATGTTTTGTGATGTCTAGAGATGATAAGGAAACTATTCGATACAATGAAACAATATCATTTTTTTAAGACAATTTCTTTGGGGAACCAGCTGTCAACGTGACAAGAACTTGACAGAAAAAGGCTGTTTCTCTGACTTTCTTTGGGTTTTGGTTGGACATTTAAAGTCTTTGAGCAGCTGAGAGGGACATTTCTATATATTTTCTGACATTTAATAGACCAAACGATATTTCCGTGAATCGAAAAGAAAAATGTCACATTCATTTATGACGACTTTTTCTTCATGCTTTGTGGTCGTCAGCCACAGGAGGACTCAGTGATCAGTCCTGTTGTTGTGGAGACGCCGTTTGCACGTTTTCCATTGATTTGTACTTTTCCATTATCGACAAATGATCAGAGGTGGCTGTCTTCCCCAGCGCTGGACTGGAACATCAATAGAGGTCGCTTCCTGGATTGATTAGAGGAGGCAGGAAGACTTGATGGACAGTTTAGTGTTTGTGTGCGCGCGCGATGGGATGTAGGCCAGCTTCCTGTCGAGGCAGCTCGCAGTCAAATGACAACAGCAGCCGAGGAAACAATCAGTCAAAGCCTCTGTGTGTGTGTGTGTGTGTGTGTGTGTGTGTGTGTGTGTGTGTGTGTGTGTGTGTGTGTGTGTGTGTGTGTGTGTGTGTGTGTGTGTGTGTGTGTGTGTGTGTGTGTGTGTGTGTGTGTGTGTGTGTGGTGTGTGTGTGTGTGTGTGTGTGTGTGTGTGTGTGTGTGTGTGTGTGTGTGTGTGTGTGTGTGTGTGTGTGTGTGTGTGTGTGTGTGTGTGTGTGTGTGTGTGTGTGTGTGTGTGTGTGTGTGTGTAGAATTATTGGTTCCTTTCTGCCACGGTTGGGACAATTACAGTTTTTGGAACCACCCCCACTGACCCTACACCCTCCTCCACTGAGCTCCTCACCTACCTGCTTTACCTGATGTGTGTCATACTGTATCATAGTATATCAGGTATACTGCAGACTTCTACTGTATTAAACCAGATCATCTACAGTACGTCTTGCCTATCCTAAACATGAGCATAAAAAGTGTCATTATGCTGTAATCCTTATGAGCAGATGTGGTGTTGCAAGGTTGCTTACAGTATTTGCAGAAAACAAACAATTTATAGGTAACCCTTTTTGCTGATTCCCACCATCGTAGATTTTGACATTTTCTTTAGCTGTATTACACTGCATGTAACACTCCCTTTTGTATTGATGGGATTTTGACATCAATATATTAAATACCTTGAGGTTGTTTATTCATACCCTTCACCCCTTAGTCCTATTTTTTTTTTTAACCAAGTTTCACAAACTTTCTCATGAATAGTAGGCATTTGAAGATATGGGAGATATATACAGTAAGTGTTCCCGTCCTAAGAGATCAGAAAGAAAAATTACTTTACAATTCAGACTTTTCTCTACAATGTTACTTCTCATACTGTAGCTCCCCGCAGGCGAGTGGCGACACACTTCAGGTTTTTTGAGTCGATTATTTGTACGTAAGTCCCATTCATGTAAACACAATATCAGGAACTCCTTGAAAGGTCCAGATGGACTCAAGGATAAACTGATTATACTTTGGTGGTTAAAGGTCCCCGTGACTTCACAAAACACTTTATTTATTGTTGTTCTTTGTTTACCACTAGTTATGACTATTTACACAAATGTAAAACAAGAAATAGGGTACACGATGAGGTGAAGACATTTTGGAAAGACATGCATGCAAACTACAACTTCACTGGCAGAGGTATACAGCCTTGAGGCCGTTACCCTAGTTTAATAATGACATGCAGAGAGTTTCTGTGTAGACATTTCTATACTTAACCTGTTAAGCCCTGAGCCTGTTTTTCAGGTCTCAGGCTGGAAAATGACATGCCCAGAACAAATGACCATATCTTCACTTCTAAAAGGGGTACATTAATAATCTTTTTTCTCAAGGCAATGATAAACCTGGGAGTTGGATGTAGAAAAGTCAGAATCAATATAGATGTTTTTATTTTAAAGAAAATTCAGATTGAACATAGTAAAAAAATGTAAATTATAGTTTCCGTCCAAAGAAAAACATCACTTATAGTGAAAACCACCTACTGTAACTATAAACTATAACATATAATAAGTACCCTGTATCAAGATTGATGCAAACAAAGTGACATTTGACCTTTTTAGAGAGATTTAGAAAAAAAAAACACCTCTGGGGTCATTTGGTGTGTATTTGCCGTTTCTCTGGAACCCATTGGTCAATGTTGGTGATTGACACCTCTTTTCAACCGTTAGAGCCAATAGAATCGAGGGGACGTTCCTAAATCCACCTACACGTTACCATTGAGGAGTGAGAGTGATGCGCACGCAGTTTGCCCAAACCGAAAGCTACGTTACGCTCTGAAAACTGAAATCTGAAAACTGAAAATTAGGCTTATTGATCATAAATATGATGATGGATTATCAGTAATCATTTCAAAGGGACACAGAGACATTGGATTAACCTTCAGCAGCGTTTTATGCGTTTTAATGCCATTAAACACAACTTTTGATCAGAAAACAGCAAAGGTAAGACGTATTTGCCGTTTTGGTAAAGTGTAGTTGTGTGTTGTCTTTGCTGGCGGGGGCACCGGGCTTAGAGTCAGGCCTACAAAGTGAGAATAGAACCCAACATTTTTTAGGTAAATATTAACATCATTCTCCTACAGTAGGAGTTAGCACGTAGTCTGTCAACAGATTTCTCATCATTGGGAACATCATATATAGCACATAAAACAACATTGTAAAAATGGTGTCTTCAGCTTTTATCTGGTTTGGCCTGCAGACGAGCAGTCAATTCTGACATGTGTTGAATTATTGAGTAGTAGGTCATTCCTACCAGTATACCAACCCAGTCTGCTCAATTTCTCATATCTAATGCACTGCATTTCTTATGGGATGGTGAAACATCAGATGATAGGGAGGTGGTGGAGGGGGGATGGAAAGTGAGAAACGGATGGACCTGGTGTTGGAGAGGCCAAAACCGATAAAATGGCAGATTAGAAGGAGTTTGAATCCAACCCAAAGAGATGATGTGCAGTAGAGGAATGGGAGAGGAGGAAGAGAGCAGGTAGAGGGGAAAGAGAGAGGGCAGATGGCGATGGGGAGAGGAGAGGATGGAAAGAGATGGATGGAGAGGGGAAGGGGGAGGGAGGCTGTTGGCTGTCATGTCCAGCTGGCTGCTGCTGGTGCTCATGGCAACAAGATGGAAATCACTGCAGGATTGAGTCAGAGCAACAGAAGCGATACCTTATCTTATCGCTTATTTCATCTCCTCTAAATTCTCCAATGGTGGCCGGAGCCCTGATACTAATGATGGACACTTTGTCATTCATTTGATCTGTCTGGGATTAAACCATTCATCAGCCAGGCAGAGAAATAATCGATTGGAATGGTGATGCAGGCATCCCTAACAAAGACCTGCATTGGTGAAAACATGTTGTCTTTTGAATGATTTAGACACAATAACAAAGTTGTTTTTTTATCCTTCCTCATGGGTTTTAAACAATTTGTAGTGTTTTTTTTTCTTTTTCCAAGAGCATCTGTCACAATCCTTCATTTACAGTCCAGTAAACAGAGCAACCAGTAGTCTTTTTACTGGGTTTTATACTAATCCTGAATTTCCACCCTTATAATAGTCGGTTAGAAGATAAGTTAGACCACAAACTCCAGTCATATTCTGCTTTTGTCCAACAAACAACTTGGGATGGCAATATATTGATAATATGTGGATATCCTGATATGAGACTAGATATCCAGTTACATTTTGGATATGTCATTTTGCAAAAAGGATATTTTTCTGGTTCTAAATGCTGATTTACATTTGTATTGATGACATTCACTGAAATTACCGGACCGTTATAGCTATCATTTACCTTTATTCACTTAGTCAAATTTACATTTACAAAAATTGTCACTGTAAATTGTTTTGCTGTAAATATATTGCCAAGCGTACTTTAAACACAAATCAAGATTAATGATTTTGCAAAAACACTTTTTGACATACAGTACTACAGGAATATACTTGTTGAGATGTATTTGGAAGAATCAAACATTGTTTCTTAAGTAGAGGATTCCTACCTTATCAAATCCAGCACACAGAGAGAAGCAGCACAAACACTATGGAGATGAGATGCAGAGATCCTTCCTCTCTCTACCTGTTAGTGTGTATCGGTCGGTGGGTCCATGGTTACTATAGCAACCTGCTGCCGAGGAGGGTAACGTCTGTAAAGGGCCGATGAACACCGTCCCTTTAGCAGAGACCACGTCAACATGTCAACACCTGGTAACTGGGTCGGACAGAGTGGGGGGG